GCTGAATGAGATTGATAGTCCAGAAGATCTACATTTATCATAAAGGGATCGTTTAGTTCGACTAAATAAGAATGAAGAAAAAGAGTAAATAAGAATGGAGGAAAAGAGTAAATAAGAATGAAGGAAAAGAGTAAATAAGAATGAAGGGAAAAAGTAAAGAAGAAAGAAGGAAAGGGGAAAGATGCGATTGTGAGAAAGAGGATACAGGAAAGGGAAGGATAGAAAATAGGAAAAGAGAAAGACAAGAAAGAAGAAAAATAGAAAAAATAGAAAAGAAGGGTTGGATTGAGACAGGCAAATCGAGAATAAACAAAGGAGAAAGGACAAAAAGAAAGTTAACTGATTAAAAAATAAAAGGAAACGGAAACTGACAAATAGTTCCTTAGGAAACGGAGGCTGAAGAAAAATAATTTTGATAGAAACTAGAAAATAGGACAGACAGACAAACAGAAGGAAAGAAAAACAGACAAACAGAAGGAAATAAAACAGACAAACAGAAGGAAAGAAAGACAGACAGACAGGCAACTCAAAAAAACAGACCGACAAACATAAGAAAAAAATAAGACAGGGAAAAAAGACAGACAGACAGACAAAAGGAAAGAAAGACAGACTGACAGACAAATAAAAGGAAAGAAAGACACACAGACAGACATAAAAAAAGATAGGACGGCCAAAAGAAGGAAAAAAGACAAACAAACGAAAGAAAATAGACGGACAAACATTCAAGAGAAAGACAAATCTTGATATCACAGAAGTCAGGAAACCTAAAGAATGCATAACGGAAGCTAGACATCCGATAGAAAGATAGATAGATAGATAGATAGATAGATAATAGATAAATAGAAAGATTAAGTAATGTGAACCTTACACAAAAAATACAAAAAGAGGGAAACACAGATTAGAAATCGTAAAGCTAAGATGTAGGAATAAATAAGTAAATGAATGAACAACAAAAAAAAAATCTAAATAATAAAACAAGACATTCGTATATATGTTCCCTATAACCGGCCAAACGGATGGACCGAATGGGCTGAACATTTTTGTGGACACTCATGAGTAAAAATATTAAAAAATTTAATAATTTAAAAAAAAAATTTCTTCAATTTTTTTTCCACGGGCAACGCCGGGCCCTCTTAGCTAGTGAGTTATAAATTAACTAACAAATGAGTGAACAGCGTAAAAACTATAAAATGTGTTTAATAACGGTTAAATCTTATATTTGAAGAAGTATGAAGTCTGAAGGACAATAAACCTTGAATGAAATATTTGAGGGGCGGGGGCGGGGGACAAGAAAGTGTCATATGTCAAAAAATTAAAGGAGAGGTTAACAAAGTTTGTTATGTATCCTAAATGTCCCAAAATTAAAGGGGAGGTTTACAAAGTTTGTTATGTATCCTAAATGTCCCAANTTTATTGATACCCTTTGAACTTGTGTCAAATTAGAATGATGGATTTATCCACGTTTTTCCAATTCAGAACAGAAAAAAATACGCTATTCTCTCTAATTGTGAATCCGATAAAGGGCTAAGGGTACCATTGTGAATCAGGCATACATTGCTTATTTGAATAGGGGATCACATATAATTACGTTGACAGTCCCTTTAAGGCTTTTCTTCAAGCTTAGCAACAACTTTTTGTCAAGACAAAACTTAAATCCAACTATGAACTTGTTTATATCCAATCCAAGGTAAAATCTGTAGTCTTCATTTTTGTGAATGATGCAGCAATAAATTAGCAAGAGTACTACTACTAAGTCACACTGACTTAACTCTATAAGATTGACAAACATATTAACAATCATAAGAACCATGTATCAGAATATAGTTTTTTAACCGTAAATTGTAATACATCCATTGTACATATTGAATACTAAGAGTCTTGATTCTAGTCTCTTTCGCTAAAATCGTACAGTTTAACAATATTAAGTTATTGTACAACAATTGGAAAACAAGTCCACCATTGACACTAACATACAGGGGCGGAAGGACCTTTGCACCCCCTGACGGATTCAGAGGGGGCGTAGCCCCCCCCTTCCACGTCTTTTGGTTCCTAAATCAGGATTTTTTGGTTCCGAAATAAATCTAGCAACCCTCTAACTTAAATCGACAGGGGCCAGAACACCCCCAGCGATTCCCTTTCATTAATTAATTAATTAATTGTTTTGAATCATCAAGACAGAAACAATATCAAGGAATCATAATTGTCTTAAACATTCTTTAAAAAGTGAATATTTGCAAATTATTTTTTTACTTATCATAATCTGAGTTTGTTTCCTTTTTTTCTATCTGACAATTTTTTGAAAAAGCCTTTGTTTGTTTATTTTACTGTGGTTTTATAACATTTTTTATTAATTATTAATTATTAATTTTGATGGTTATTATATCGTTAGAACTGACATGGGGTCAACCCAGACCGAAATATATTAATAAAATGTGTAACTAACATCTACTTGATTAGGTTTTTTTTTCCATCATCATTACACAATGATAACACTAACATACATCCCCTGGCCCAGTGGTTAGTCAAACCTTATTTTAAGTGACTTCTCAAATCTTTTTCAAGATAGATTAGAAGATTAAACTTTAAGGACCTCCCTTATGAAATGGTAATACATTGCTTAAATTAAATGGCTTCTTATTAACTCATTAACTTAACTTTGTTGGAGTTGGAAATAATAACAAAATTGATATTCCATTAAAATTTTATTTTAATATCAAAATTAATCAGTGAAACTCATTCTTTTATTTAAATTCAGTCCAGATTTAACAAGTTTGACTTAATTTAAACACTTTATCGAGAGAACAGATTCAAAAGTTGCCATGTCTCAGATTAGGGAGTAGATTTCAGACCAATTCATCATGCAATCATGCAATGATGGAAGTTTCAAAAAACATGCATCTGTATAAAGGATAAACTTAAACATGAAATATTCAACAAAATTGAAATTTTTGGTAGTTTTATAAGCCAAAACAATGATTTTTTTTTGTAAAATTTAGATTTAAGTCCTAATACTTAGCTTATCAAAACGTACTTAACTTTATCGTTGTGCCCCCCCCCCAAACTTAATCTAAATTTTAACAAACTCATGACACGAGTAAATATTTAGATAGTGGGTATAAGATTGCATTAAACTTGAATCTATTAAGGATTCATGAAATATTAATTCATTTTCTGATTTTGTTGAAATTAGAAAAAAATGTTAACAAAACTCTTAAAATAATATTTAGGACACTAATTAGTAAGAAAAAATGCAGACAATACAAATTGTGTTAAAATAATTGTTACTTTTTAGTATTTCATATTTGTTACCAGTATGTGAGAGTTTACAACTTTTGAATCGGAACAACTAATTTACCAAACGATATATCAGTTCAAATTCAAAACTGATCTGAAATGGCCAAATATTCTGAGGTATTTACTAAAGAAGGAGTCGTTATTTGAATAAATCAAATAAATATAAAGCTAAGAATCAATAAGTAAATAAGTGAATTTCATGTTAGCATTGTAAATTTATTAAAATTCCGACATCATATAATCAACTTGAGATTTCATTTTCTAAATTTAAATCTCGTAATTTCTAAATTTCCTCCTAACATCCTCCTCGCTCCATTTGTTAACCATGATCAGCGTTGGACGGGTTGAATCTTTATTCGGTAATTTCATCGGTGAATCTTGATCATCTTGATCATCTTGATCATCTTGATCAGGTTTCTTCATACCAGTCTCAGATTTGGAATTTGATCTTCTTTCAGTGTTCAAGCCCTTACTTTCCTCTCCTTCAGGTAGCATCCTTTCCTGCTTTGGAACTGCCCAGTGCATGGTAGATTGCATTCCTGGAATCAAGTGCACAACTTGTGGGAAAAAGTCATTTATTTATGTGTAATATAATGCTCCTTGGCTATCTTGAAAAAAAACTCTTTCAGAGGCAGTTCTTGAAAAGTAAATAGGGAATAATCATTTATCATTATTGCTTAACATTTTTGGGGCCTATTGAGGCCAACAGTAAAAAATCTTTTTTCTAAAAAGTTGAGTCCTTGCCTTCTTTCATATTCTCCCATTGGCTGAATGATATTGATAGTCCAGAAGATCTCCATTTATCATAAAGGGATCGTTTAGTTCGATCCAGGAGAGTCTCTTTGGCGGCCTAAACAGACTATTGAAGAAAAATTCTAATTCTAACAAAATGAACAAAATGGAAAATTGCATGCATAACATTTTTTTTAGCTAAGCATTCTTAAATATTCAGAATTTTCTAGGGAACTTATTGAAAAAAAACCTTTTACTTTCATGATAGTTTAGGAGTTCCGGATATATTTTATGAAAGAAACAATCCTTTTCTTCATTTTTTCCCCTAGCTCTAGAAATGCATGTTTTTTCTCTGTGTGTATTAAAACAAATATTCCTATTTTTCTGCCCTTGAATTTTAACAATGTGAATTTTTTTTTAAATCTTTAATTTGATCAAATTTGTATGAGATTATATGAAGTTTTAAGAATTTCTTAATGGTACAGATTACTCTGACCAATCAAAAGCTAACAGCACAAATTTTTTTCACAAAAAAATAAAATAATTCTGAAGAATAAAATCTTCATAAACCTGAATATTTTGAAACTCCTCAGTGCTACCAGCCTTGTCTGGATGCAATTGTTTAGCCTTGGATCAAATTTAATAAACTTGAGCTAGTTGCTCAACTACCTGCAGCAAATTCAAGTACTTATCTGCAGTGTAGTTGTTTAAATCTATAACATGGGAGAGGTGATTCAGGATTGGCCAATATCCTATATATGAAAACAACTACACTGAAGGTGCTAAAGATAAGTAATTGAATCGACAGTATGTAGTTCAGTGACCTAACTCAAATTCATTAAATTTGGTCCCTTCGCTCTATATTCAGCTAGAATCTGATCTTCGGTTGAACTAGGATCACAGCCTAGTGTCTCATAATAGTTCTCCTGACTAGCCCCTAGTCCTTGCAAAGAATCCATGGTATCTGGAACCAATACTGGATATATACTGAAGCAACAGTTGTGTGTTGAGATGGACTCTCAAGGAGAAATCAATAAAGGGTTATTTAGAGGGAGGAGGAGAGGATAAGAGAGGGATATTTGGTTCACTATATTTGTAATAGGAAACTCAGAACACGAGAAAAGAAACATTGTCAATACTAAAATTCAAAACACATGTAAAAGCATGCATCTTTATTAAAAAAACATGTGTGTGGGACACCAATTTACAAAAATCTATTTCTCTGGGACACCCTTAACCAATCCACGATTCTGGGACTCACAAATTCAAGAATATGTGCTTAAGAGGGCTCATTAATTCAAGAAAATGTGTTGAAGGGACACAATAATTCAAAAAACATGACTTATTTAACTAAGGAAACTGTGACATTCTATGAAATTGTCCGGAACAAAATATGAACAAGACCCATGCATTGCATATTGCACAAGACTACAAAATCCAAAACAACATTTGCTTAAGTGTATTCTTATTATTTGGTGAATTTTATTATGGAATCTTCAACATTTTAAGCTTTCTAGTGACAAAATATCAAGCAATACTTTATGAAAAGATGAGCTCTGAAAACAAATATCTTCCCTAAATCTAAATAGACATCATTAAACCAATCATTAAATTTCTGCATATAAAGTGAAAAAATTATTTTTGGGAAACTCGTTCTAACTGAAAAAATAAACTTAATCTGAGCTGGGAACTTTTGAATGGTGGATATCGGGAGTAATATTTGATTTTCTTAATCTCGAGATTAAATAATGCTTGCTCTCCTCTTGTTAATAATCTCCAGATTAATTATCCGATCGCGATTCAGAATATTCCATTCTAAAGTTCCCAGCTCAGAACTTTAAGAACCAATCATTTGCTGGATCATGATCTGCATCAAAATTTATTCTGAAGTTTAAACATATTAACACAAACATGTCATATGTCTCTAAATATATGCTAAATAAACTGCCTAGAGCCTGCGCTAAATAATAATAAAGGAGGAAAANAAGGGGTTCTACATGAGGGGGTAGTAGATGAATGTGAGGAGGGGGAGTGTAGGAAGATGAGAAGGGAGAGTGGATAATGATAAGAAGTGGGAGTGAATGAATATGTGAAGCTGGAGTTGATGAATATGAGGAGGGGGAGTGGATGATTATGTGAAGGGGGAGTTGATGAACATGAGGAGGGAGAGTGGATAAATATGAGGAGGAAGAGTGGATGAATATAAAAAGTAGGAGTGAGTAAATATGTAAAGGGGGAGTGGAGATGTATATGAGGAGGGGGAGTGGATGCATATGAGGAGAGTGTATGAATATAAAAAGCGGGAGTGAATAAATATGTGAAGGGGGAGTGGATGAATATGAGGAGGGGAAGAGGATGTATGAGAAGAGGAAGTAGATGAATATAAAAATATATGACCTAAAATGTTCAAGTTATGTTGTTAAAAATGAAAACTATGCGGGTGGTAAAACAAAGCAACAGTTTATAAACATGTTGATTGTTCAAGGGGAATATGAGTTGTGATATGCAGATAGAAATAGCTTGAAAGGGACTATAAACGTAATTTCAAGAGTGGCATGTCCAATTCATAACAATACCCTCATTGTCTCTGCAACATAAATCCGCAATACACATTTAAAGAGATACAACTATTGTAAAAAAATAGCTTTAAAAAACTTATATTGCGCATTTAGCCTTTAACAGTCAAAGGTTTAAAGTGAACCTTTACATCTCTAGTTAAAAATCTGAGAATGAAAAGAACTCCCCCCCCCCCATTTCCCCAATTCTTTCTTAATAAAAGGTCTGGTATTATTGGTTAAGTGGCCCAACCCCTACTATAAGGTCATTCAACACATTTTGAAAAACAAGACATTTTGGAGCTTTTTTCAAACAATTACGAGTAACATGTTCATCTATTAATTAAACATGTTCCCTATATCCGGCCAAGCGGCTGAACCGAATCAGCTTAAATTTTTGTGGACACTCACGGGTTGCCTGTGAAAAAAGCTTAAAAATTCGAATTTTCCACGTGCAACGGCGGGCTCTTCAGCTAGTATTCATCTAACCTTTATCTATGTAACTATGGGAAAATGTCGATTTTCAATCTTAAAAAATTGTTGAATTTTACAGTTTTTAGCAGCATAAACCCGCAAAGTCTCTTTATTGAGACCACAATTGAAAATAATCAATTTTCAGCTCGTAAATAAGGATATCTCATTCGTCTTTGATTAGACAAAGTTTTAAAGATTAACGCTGTGAATCTGAAATTTCCTTTTAAAAACAGTGGGTCCCTTAAAAAATACGTCTACAGTATCTTAAAGCTTGATACATCAGGATGAAACCTAAATAAATCAGTATTCAAGTAATTCTTTAAAACAACCAGAAATTATTTAAAACCTAATCTTTGAAAATAGAAGTGCCCACTCTTCTTAAACATCCTGATTCCTGTGGCCGCCCCTAATTTCATTTTATAGTTGTAAATGTTACAATGCCCTTATTTAAACGCAAACACTGTATTCAATTCAATTCTGTTTGTTTAATTTAAAACCTTAAGACAAGCGCAATAAATTTATTAATATCAAACATATTAAACCTTAGACAAACAAAATTTGATTGTTAAAATGATTTTTACTCATACTCGAAGGGCTATGTCAAAACAAATATGAAAAATTTTATTTAAATAATATACATTTCTAAACCACGATTAAGTTGTATAAATAGTTTTCTTAAAATGTCAGAAAAAATTATTCTTATGTTGTAATGACCTTACCTAAAGCCAAAGAAGAAAAAATATCAAAAAGATAAGAATTAAATTTTAAACAATACGTCCGTTATGCATCTTATATTTTTCCATATAATGGTAAGAATAATTGTCCTAAAGGACGAAAAATCAATCAATCAACTTTCCCATATAATATTATTATTTACATTGTAATTCATATTTAATAAGATCGTCGATTTTAAGAAAATGTTCTTTTTTAACAATGTACTTCATGACTCGCAAACAAAACGATTATTAAATTCATAAAACATATACAGTACTAACTCCACTTCTATACTCTTTTTAACATAAATATAAATAAGAGGGATTTTCTAATATAAATAAGCTTTAAAATAGAAACTTTCTCCTGCAGCTTAATCAATTGAACAATAAATATAATGATTAAATGATTATTTAACTATATCTGTTTGAATATTTATCTTACTGTGTTGTCTCCGGAACTATTATTTCTTATTGTCACTATGATAAATGAACAGCGTCACGAATTACGTCACTTTTGGAAATATGTAAATTTCCCACCAAAATATCCCGGGACCTGTTACTCCTGTTACTGGGTGTGTTAAACCGGTACTGGAGTCTAGGCCGCTACATTTTGCGCGCATTTTCACGGCGCGAGACTTTCGCGGATTTTGCATATACTTTTCGGCAGATTTCTTAAAATCATCAAGCCAATTATGTTTTGTAAATTATTTAATTGGTAAATTATTGTTTAATAAAAAAATTTACGCCCATTAATAATTCTCATTGTTTTTATCAACGTTCAATTTCGGGTCGTCTTTGGTTTGACCGGCTTTATGTTTTGGTGGTCATTTCGTCAATCAAATATTTCAATTTATATGCTAATGTGCAAGCAAAAAATCATTTAGCGATAATTTTCCTAAATATCATCTTCAAAAGTACAATAATTGTTTTAATTCTGAAAAAAGTGTTTATTGTGTCTCCGATAACTTAATATTATGCTAAAACATATTTTTGTTGTGCAAGACAGAAGCAACCACCATATTAATTAGCCAAGAAAATTCTTCTTCAAACTTCAATTTAAAAAAACAACGTAAATATTTTTAAACATGAATTATCAAAATAATCACAGGGTTAACAAATGGCTTTTCGCTCTATACTCTCTACTTGCTCAGGATATAAAATTTGAGATATTTAATTCGTCAAGAAAATTATAGTTGAAAAATGTTAAATCATTGAATGATAAATTTGAATCAATGGTTGGGACATTGGCACATTTTCAGCGAAGGGGTAGTAGTCCTCTTCCCCCCCCCTCTGAGCATCCCAGGAGAGGGGGGGACACTGCCCCATATGTTGGGATTCTCCCTGAGCTATTAATTATCAGGAGGGAAGGCGCCGCAAATAACACTTTTTTCCTCACCCTGTATAGATAGTCACAATTTCGTAATATTTTTTTGTTTGTTTAGTTTTTTTTCTGAAATAAAAAATCCATTAATCAAAATCAAACTCGCAACGAAGTTGTCAATGTTTATTTGAAAAAATGTTATAGTGAATTTTTGAGAATAATGATGCGTCTGAAAATTGTTTAAACACATGTTGCTGAATTTCATAAAACTAAATAAATTGATCAGTATTTTGTCATTCTGATCAACTTAAGAGTTAGGACAACAAAATTCACAATTTCTTGAAAGATCAGTGCAGGATGATCGAGGTATCAGACATCAGGCGATCAGGACAATTGATCGATTTATTGATCACTATCTTCGGTCTTTGGATCTGCTCCGGGACTTTCTAGAAGAAAAAACATATATTTAAAATTATTTTAAAATAAAAGTCAGGAAAAAAGAGTACTGAATGATAATAATCATAAAAACTTTTTACTAATAAAAATCATTTGACAATTAAAGGGACTGTACGCCTTATTTCAAGTGTTTTTCAGTTTAAAGATGACAATACCAGATTCACAACGGTATCCTTTAAGCTTTGTCTGATCAAGTATAAATTAGTATAAATGTTTTTACTTTTGATAACCATTAATTTTCAATTTTGGATTCTCTTCAAAAAGAAAAAAAATCGAGAATTCTTAAAAAAATTTAACCTGGATTTCTTCAGTTCTTTGTATTTTCTCAATTCATCTTCATAGCTGTTTCCCCTCCTCCCTCTACTCCTACTCCTAAATATTTAAATTAATACAAACATAATTCTAAATGAACCTCCATTTAGATTAACTAGGCTTAAAGGGAACCCCCTTTCCAATTAACAATTTTAGCTTCTAATTGTTACTCTGAAAGTCGCTTTATAAATTATTCCTAAATAGCGAATTTTTCTACTTAAATTGGCGCATTTTCAGAAAAATGTCGACCCAATTAAAATTTTTAATAAACCTTCCCTGGGGTCGTGTGGGACGTGGGTAGTCATTAAAAAAATTGGGCCCCTATTGGGTTTAGCCGTTTAGACGGTTTTAAGATACAAACGGGCACAGGCCATCAAAGTATATACTACTGATATATAGATTTAATTACATCAATAAATCCAGCAACAGATGGAAGAGGCAATTAATCTATAATTTGGAATATAATTTCTAAACTACCTCCCTTTAAATATATAAATTCTAAATACCTGTCCCTACAAATATATAAATTCTAAAATATATTTCACTTTAAATATATAATTTTCAAAATACATGTTCCTCTAAATATGAGATTTCTAAAATACTTGTCACTTTAAATATATAAACTCTAAATACCTGTCCCTTTTAAGTATAAAATTTCTAAACTACCTCCCTTTAAATATATAATTTATAAATACCTGTCCCTTTAAAAATATAAATTCTAAAATACATATCCCTTTAAATATATAATTTCTAACCTACCTCTCATTAAATATATAATTTCTAACCTACCTCTCATTAAATATATTCTTTCTAAACTACCTGTCCCTTTAAATATGTTATTTCTAAAATACCTGTCCCTTTAATTTATATATTTATCCAAACTACCTGTCCCTTTAAATATATAATTTCTAAAATACCTCCCTTTATATATTTAATTTCTAACATACTTTTAAATATATAATTTCTAACCTACTTCCCTTAAAATACACATTATTTCTAAACTACCTGTCCCTTTAAATATATATAATTTCTAACCTACCTCCCTTTAGATATATTATTTCTAAAATACCTGTCCTTTAAATATATTATTCCTAAACTACCTGTCCCTTTAAATATATATAATTTCTAAAATACCTGTCTCTTTAAATATATATGATTTATAAAATACCTGTCCCTTTAAATATATTATTTCTCAATACCTGTCCCTTTAAATATATAATTTCTAAAATACCTGTCCCTTTATATACATATATGATTTCTAAAATACCTGTCCCTTTAAATAAATTATTTCTATACTACCTGTCCCTTTAAATATATATAATTTCTGAACTACCTGTCCCTTTAAATATATATAATTTCTAAAATACCTGTCTCTACTTCTTCTCTTCTTGTCCCTACTACGGCTTCTACTTCTCTTGTGTTTCTAAATTTAAAAAATTTTAAAATAGATTGTTAAGAAGTAGTTTTAAAAATTAAAATTTCATTCTTAATAATTATTTTAAAATATCTATTTTGTTGTAAAAATAATTACACTATTCGAACGTATTAATTTTACTATATACGTCGTAAAATATTTACTGATTTGTATTATTGGAGTTAAAGCTTTGATTTTGAAAAGTAAAAAAATTGATTTATCAAGTTTGAAGTTAGCTTATGAGCTTATGCTGAACATTTAATTTTGTTTAAATGTCCTTTATTGCTTTTCGCTTTTTACCGACTAACAAATTAAAATATTAAAAATGTGCCTTTTTTATTTCATCAACCACATATACGCTTTATGATTTATAAATTTTGTTTTACTATTAATTTCTCGTTGTATATACAGATTTTTTTTTAAAAAAGAGAATTTTAAATAAAGATTAAAATAATAAGTTTGAAGTTACCTTGTCTTTCTTGGATTTCTTCTCTCTTGATCTAGATCTAGATCTCTTCTTTTCCTTTGATCGAGATCGCTTGCGGTCCTTGGACCTGGTCAGAAAACAAGTTAAAAAGAGAAAAAAAATAAAACAGCCATATTTGTAGAAATAGCTTTCAAATGTTGCTCTTCTGTCAACCATTTTTTCGTTGTACATAATAAAACTAAAATATTTCGCAGATATCATGTTTTTATTGGTGGATTTCAAAATTATTCAAATTGAAATTATCATTTAAAACAGAAAATCCAGTGAAATCCTGCATTTGCTCGAAATTCTTACAAAATACATCTAGAGGCCGCATTATCGTGCTTCAAAGTAATCAGTATACACATCATAAAACATACGATCCAAATTAAATTTATAATGTTGTTAATCCAAAATTCAAGAATCAGCTTGAAATTAAAGGAATGGATTATGTTTTAACTATAGTATTTCACTGGATTTTCTCATTACTCAAACATCTGATAAAAAAAATATATACCATTCGTTTTTAAATTCAATTCGAGTTTAGCCTACACCCCCTTTAATTTTTTGCAAACACTCCCTTTCAATTACCTTTTATCCCTGCTCCTGCTCCTACTTCTTTTCTTCACCTTCTCCACACTCTTAGACTTCTCCCTCTTAGACTGGGATCTTTCAGACCGGTCACGTGATGATCGGTCACGGGACTTCCGGTCATCTATACGCTCTGATCCACCACGGGATCCCCGGTCATCCATCTAGTTAGTATTAATATTAAACGACAACCTTATCTCAAATGGCGCAGAGATAGTGATTTTGATCAAATATTTTTTTAAGCGCAAAAAAAGTAAGAAAGCTAATATATTACAAGAAGGCTGCAGCAGACGCGTAGCCAGTATTATGATTATGAATAAAAATCAGTCCGCATCCAAGAACGGATGAATAGGAAAAAGACAACAATTTTTTTTGTTCAATGGCGAAATGGTAATAACCGTCAGACAATAATTTTAGTTTGAAAATAGACGCTGTTCATAAAAAACCAATAATATTTATTTTTGTTTATTTTTGATAAGGAGAAACCTATCCACTTTTTATAAATGAAAAATGTAGAAGAAGAAAATTTATTATAGTTTTGATTAAGTAAGAAAACAATTACAATTAGTTAGGACTAAATTTGTATTGATGAATGTGCCAGGGGGGGGGGGACAAAATCAAAAACAAAAATTACCCTTCGCTCCGATTCGCCACGTGACTTACGATCCTCAACCTAAAATATTTTATTTTATTATTCGATTTTAAATTAAATCCAAACACAATTAATTTTGTGATACACTGCACAGTGCACCACGGTATATCTTTCATTGTCTCTAATTTTTGATGTTACCCACTGGAATGTCTCAAAAAAAATTTAAAATATGCACCCTAGTTTATCTCTTTCTACGAGAACCCCTGACTTAGTCTATAACTTTTACAGTGATCACATTTTTAAAACTGTGTTCCAGCTCAGAGGGTACCATAGAGAATGAGAATTGGAAAAACATGAGACCACGTTTTATTTTCCCGCATTCTTGAAGGAACTGTTGTCGTTATTTCGGGTGACCTTATATTATGCGAGGGGCATGCCAGAATCACAACGGTACCCTTTTAAAACTGAATCGGGTCAATATTCTGGAAGATATCGTCGTGTTTTTTAGTTGAGCAGAAATGCACTAACTACAATTAAAATAATTATTTTTCTATCAAAAGATATCTTATGCTTTGTTGATCTGACAGTGCTATAAAGGGTGTCATTGTAAATCAAGACTGCTCCTTTTTAAATGGAGGGTCACTAAATATCACGTCTATATTCCATCTACAATTCCTTGATCAAGATCAAGACCAACCTGCTGAACACGCTGTGCCTTGAACCTCTCGTCCAGGGCAGCACGAATCTGTTTCTAAAAAATAAAATTGCAAAAATAAAGTTTGAAGATAAAATTAACTAGATCATAAGACAAACTAGTTAATAGTTGATTATCGTATAGAAATTTTTAATTTTAAATAACATATTCATAAATAAAAATTAAGACAACTTCAATCAATCAATTTCACTAACCATAAAACAATCAATAAATCTATCAATCAATAATTCAATCAATCTAATTTATATATCTAGTCCATCAATTTATTACTTAATAGCCATAAAATAATCAATTAATAAGTCTAACTTTTAGCCATTAATCATTCAATTAATCCTTCTACTAGTCATCAATCAAGCAATTAATTAATAATTAAATCAATAAATCAATCAACTAATTAATCAATCAAACAACCTAATAGTCGTCAATAATCAATAAATCCATTGAACAATCAACTAATCAATTAATCAATACAATACTCATCTTACGGTAAACTCTTAAAAAAACAAAAGCCATCAAATAATTAACCAATCCACCATCAATCTATATTAATCAATTAAACCTTACCTCTGCAGTAACTGCTATTCTGGGAAACCTTGTCTCGAACCATTCCAATCTAAATACAACCAACCAACCAACAAACCAACCAACCAACCAACCAACCAACCAACCAACCAACCAACCAACCAACCAACCAACCTGGTAAGAATCATCCTACAGAACTCCCCCATGGTCATAGGTTTTCCTCCTCCTGCCTTGATATCAATCTCCTGAATGAAGAAAAAAATTAAACATTTAAGAAAAACATTCTTTTAAGTTTTGGGAGCACTTTCCCAATGTAAGGGGGGACGCTTATGACAAAAATACCCATTTAAAGAAAAATTGTAGTAAACTTTGAACCCTCCCCTTTTCAATTTTTCTTCAGTTTGAGGGTACAGTACAACTACACAGTACACAGTACACATGTTTATTTTAAAAATTTATTGCTAAAAACAACAAATTTGAACTATCCAAAATTTAAACTTTTCATTCTCAGATTAAGAAAGGGGGTCGGGTCGGGTCGGGGGATGGGAGGGTGTATAAATACTTGAATATTCCGTACTATTGAACTTATGTCAGACCAAGGGTTGAGCATCACCAGTCTCGACACCTAGCGGGGTCCTGGGCAAACAAATAATAAGTTTCATATTTGAAGATTATCTCCCAAAACTTGTCTACTTGTCCCTTTTCTTTGTTATTAAAATTTTAAATTTTAAACTCTTTAATCTTGAGAAATGTGTTCAAAGAAAAGGAGACAAGTGACTTCATAATTTTTTCAACTCACCGCACTTGGCTTTTTCTTGTGTTGTCCCCCTACCGGGAAATCTGCGAACTCTGAGGCGGAAAATCCGCAACCGGGCGGGGACAAAAAGCCCGCCAAAAAAATGTGAACGAATACATACCTCTTGGTCATCTATATATGGCTCAAACCAATGCCACATTTCAGCGGGGGGAAGGGTGAATCTAATTATATATTAATTAGTTTAAGATTTTAAAAACTAAAAAGTATGAGACAATGATCTAAAATTTTAGTTAATTTTTAGAGCTAAATTGAAAAATTATTAGAAAATTGAAGAAAACTTTTACCTGAGATACATAAAACCTAAAGCTCTAATGTAGGGAGAATCACAATGGTTGAGCAGTGCGTAGGCCTTAACAAGAGTTTATTCAAAATGGCGAAATCTTATTAAAATGGCGGCAAAAGCGAATTATCTAACCTGCTTTTTCGTGAGCTTGATACAGTGAAGCTTGAAGAGAAGACAGAAAGCTGATGAAACTACACCTCCAGCAGACACTCCCCTCACTCCACCACACATACCAGTCTGACCTGAAGTAGTATGCTCATTGCTCAACAGTAATTGTAAATGATTTAAAAATTAGATTTTTTTCACATTTCCTAATAATTTTCATTCTTTACAACAGTATATGTCAAGGGTGTAATTTTTTTAAATATAATTTCTATTCCCTTTCCTCCTCTTTGAAAAATTTTAGGGTTTTAATTTGTTAGAGCTGAGGACAAATTTTTTGCTGAATCTAAGAAAATAATGAAGTTGATAAAAATCATGGAAAAAATAGGAAAAAACTCACCCGATGATGTTCAATGTCCATTTTTCTCTTTATTCCTCAATTATATCCCTTTCCCCCCCTCTATGCAATTCTTCGAAATATTAATTATGATTAATAATGAACTTACTCATTCCAGCAGTTTTCCTAGTTCCCCGTTCCCAGGGTTCCAAGTGATCAACCTTGTAGTAGATTTCGTCAACCACCTCATGGAACGTTTTCATGGCGAACAAATCAACCTGGATATAATAGAAATATCAACCTGACGCTTTCTGAGAAAATGTTCAACTTAAAGTATCATGTTTTTAGAAAATATATCAACCTAAAGAATGACGTTTTCATAAAAAATATCAACCTAAAGAATAATGGTTTCTTAGAAAAAATATCAACCTAAAGAATACTGATTTTAAAGAAAATATCAACATAAAGAATTATGTTTTCATAGAAAATATCAACATAAAAAATAATGTTTTAATAGAAAATTTCCACCTAAAGTATAATGTTTTTATAGAAAATATCGAACTGAATCATAATGTTATAAATAAATTGATTAACAGTTTTGAGTTACTAATTTATTTTTATTTGAAACTATGAATTCTGTTAGATCAAATAGTTTGAAATTATTAATATTAAAGGTTTGCATCATGAGGTTGCAAAGAAATAAGGTTTTGAAAAAATAAGAGTATTCAGTTCATTTCTGGAATTACGAATTCTTTCAAATTATGTAACTCGAATGTTTGAAGTTATTTCCGGCAGAGTTAAAAACAGTTACCTTGAAATACGGAGAATTGGTCACATTTGCGAGAATCAGAGGATTCATATTCATTGTTTTCTCATTCCCATGGAATGCGACTCTGTTATTCTTATTCTAAAAGAAAGTTCAAAAATAAATTTTATCCAGAAAAAAATGTTTTAAATTATTCAACATTTTTTTTCTACTAAAAAAAACTTCTTTCAATTTTAGTTCTTTCTCACGATTTAACAAATGAGAAAATGAAATACACATATCTATATATCTGGTATAAGACGCCCCAGAAAGCATATTAATTTTGGGGACTTTTTGTGGGGGGGGGGGTAAGGAAAGCTAACCTGGTTGGCCATCTCCTCATCTTCCTCTTCGTCATCATTGTAATACTCAGACATTTTCATTCCAGGTCCTCCAAAATTTGAGGGCAGTCCCGTCATTTTCAAATCTGGAAACAGAAAAAATAATCACATTAATGCATGACTACAAGTACATTATAAATATCAAACTTCACATACGTAACAGACTGTTGAAAATACATAAACATAAATGCTGATTAAATCACAGAAGACTTAGTAAATAATCGATTTGCGCCATTTCTCTGGTCACGGTTTCCCGGATTTTTTCTAGCTCTTCTTTAAACACGGCAATACAGCGTTTTAGGTCACTTTCACGCATGTTTTTCAACACTTGTTCATTCTTATGATTTCCCAGATTTTCCAGGAAATTCAAGGCGTTAAATTTGATTTCATTTGGCACAATTTGGTTTTCGATAAGATTTGATATTTTATCAAATATTTCTGGGGGCAGTGATAAAACTAGATTAGGTTGAAGGGGGGAGTACATTGATAGGATACAGAGGGGAAGGATGGCTTGGTTTAACATAATCGGATGTCCAGAACTTAACAGGGAGAGGATGAAGGGAAGAACACCGGCCTCTACTAAAGTAGAGGACACGACCTCGGATTTAGAAGAGGTGATGAGGGAGCTGAAAAGTCTGGCAGCCTCGACATTTAGTTGTCCCAGGGTTGAGGAAAATTCTGTCCCATTCCTGCCGATACTAACTACTTTGCCGACAAAAACGGAGTCAGTCCCAATCTTTGTCGACACATCCTCATTATTTTGCGACAAAAGACGGAGAATGGCGACAATTTTCAGCATGATTCCAGTGGATATCGACCTTCCCGCCATGTCCACCATTTTAGAAACAAGATGGCGTCCAAGAAGAATTTCCCGGGTTTTTACATTTATACAACAATTTCGAAGACAGCCGAGGAGACTGTGGTGAACCCGCTCATTTTCTAGGTTCAAGTTATTAAAAAATAAGTCAATCACGTGACCTGAAATTAGAGTATTTATGTTTGTATCACTAGTGGCAAAATTTCCGAGTATTAAATATCCCATAGATACAAGAAGAAGGTCGTTGCTCTCCAACCAGGGCAGAAACAGGGCGGGATCTAGTTGTTCCAAAGAGGCGTGGCTGAGCAGAACAACCAGCAACTCTAACGCCAGCTCCCGGGAGGGTTTCCCGTCCTCCTCCTCGTCCTTTTCGTCATCCTTGTAGGTGTTCCTGTTCACGTTGTCTATCAGTGCTAGATGAAGGTCGAACAGGAGAAGGGGTTTAGAAACAGATTCCTGTTCGGCCAGGGTTGTAAACAGAACAAGGAAATCAGGATCCACGCCTGAAACAGTGTTGAATATATATATATATATATGTATAATGAATAACGGATATATATATATCCATTATTGCAAACAGAAAACCCATCGAAATTATACGTGGTTCTTTTTGAAATTTCATGCAAAGAAAAATTGAGCTCGAAGCCTAATACATAATGACATACAGAGCGTCCCATATAATATTATATTATCTCCAAGCTTATAACGCCAAAATAAACATATAATATTCGAGAAGCATAGTTTTTCTTTAAAGAAAACTTTTATATGAGCCTTATTCAATTTTTCAAAATGATTTATTCTTCTTATATTTTCTGATTAGTCCCGGAAATTGTAATCTAGAATCTAGACTCATTGACGATCTAATATGATATGATATATGATATATGATATATGATATATGATATATGATATATGATATATGATATATGATATATGATATATGATATATGATATATGATATATACCCCCCCCCCTTCACATCGTTAATGGCACTGAGTTTGATGTGTTCAACTAATTTGTTATATTTCTATTTATATATTTACCTAGAACAGCAAATAGAAAATCTTGAAATGGTTTGATCATCTCCAAATCCTAAAAAATAACAAAATATTGACATTTTTCTCACAAAATTTTGTAAAAATAATTTTTTTTCAATGGTTTGCTAAACATTTCGTTATTAAATATTTTCCAAGATTTTTTAACAATGCATATGGACATTGTACTAATAATCAATGAACCCTGTTTTCAAGCGACCCGGATGCAGGGATATCAAGAAACCTAGGATAATATACTCAACCCTCCCAACTAGTCCTAGCTTATGCACATTTTGTTTCTTTGAAGAATCTCTTCATTGCGTTATTTGGATGGTTATTTTTTAATTAATCAATTTATACGATTTAGAAATTTTATTAAAAAATTTTTTTAATTAAATTAAATTTTAATTGCCAACTTTTAATCATCCCGTTGTAAAAGGGGCCCATTGAATAGTTCATAATTTTAACCCCTTCATCCAATGAATAATATGAAAGATATCGTAATTTTTTAGCTTAGTAAAAACTCAAAAGAATATCATATTCATTTCTGATTAGACCGTTGTACCGTACCGTACCGTTGTTGCAATAACATCTAGTCTCCTTAAAATTTGAAAATTGTGTGTTGATGATGGGATAAACATCATAGAGTTAATAACGTATAGTTTGTTCCACATTTTATTGAAAATATATTTCGGTCAGATTGACCCTCGTCAATTCTTGAGATTGGTTCTGTCATGAAAATTCAAAACAATATTTAAATTTAGAATTTTTATTGTTCGAACCCTGTTGACCTGTACAAGGAGTAGCTGTGTAGCGAGCTGGTCAAGTAGAGGCTGAATACTGGAGATATTCTTCGATGGATTATCAATACAATAGTTCTGTAATAAACCAGGAACAACTGAACAAAAACCTTTCGTTTTTTAAAAAAATTAAAAGATTTGCGAAAAAAAATAATTAAAAAGAATTGATATTTTTAATCAAAAAAAATCCCTTCCAATGAAAAAATGTAAAAAAAATCAAATGAAATTAAGAAGGAATTAGCAAACAAGTATACGTTGTCATTAGGAATAATTTTAAATTTCTTTCCTTCAACAACAAATGATTATAAATAAAAAAGGGAAAAATTTTAAAATAGTTGGTTTAAATGTTAAATATTTGATTAAAACAAAAGATTTCCTGCGAAAAGACGACTTTCTGTCATTTTTAAATTTTGTTGCTCCACTGCATTAAATATCGTCGACAGAAGATTGGTTTGATCTACTAGTTGGCGACCAGCTGGGCTGTTGAAACACAGATTTCCAAAAAGTCGACAAAGTTCGACTAAAGAGTTGGAACAAGGGTTGGTCGACCAATCAGCTGTAGACAAGATATTTGAGGACAATATGAGTTTCCTAAAATAATAAATATGTATAATTTTCTAAATAAATGACAGCAAACAATAAGGGTCCGTCCTAGAGAACGATTTTTAGACCCCCCCATTAAATGTCAAATGAAGATTCACCCCATATAATCAACGACTAAATCGTAGCCGAAATAAACTTAAATATCAATACAGATTTGTACAAAAAGGATAAAAAAGATGTTGAAAAATAATGTCTGGAACCGGTCTAAAATTGTAAAATGACTAGATACCGGTAAAACATATAATTATTGTTAAATAATGATAAAAATAAGTTTAATTAAAATATATAAAAACAATATTTTAAAAATGTCAATATAATTACCGCGCTGTCTCATCTCTAGCGTAATCAGCGAGGGTTTTCAGAGACTTAGGATTCTTTAAATCCAATTCTTTAAATTCTGACTCTTTCATTTCACCCCTTCTCAACAGTGGAACGTTTAAAGGTGTAAAATTCACTAACAAAAAAACGGTCAAACGTTTTAGAAATTTAGAAACTGTTCAGCTTCAGTTTGAGAATTAATTTGGTTTGATTACTCACGGCACAGAGGCTCTTGTCTAGCGCGGTCGAGCAAGCCAAGATAGATAGATAGTTTACTTGTCCAGATTTTAGTTGCGCCACATTATTCGGCTTAATGTGCCACAGTTGCGCCACATTTTTAAACATAAGATATTATAATGATGATAGATATGAACATCATGACGGGATCTTTTTGACGTCATATCCTGTAGTTCAAATCAACACATTAATTGCTCATTTAAACTATAATTTTTCTATAAATTCAGTATAAATATACAACTGAACGTAAAAATAGTTCAAATGAACCAAAAAATGTAGCTCAAATGTGTATTTTTCAGGGTTAGGCTAGGTTACGACAATTTCGGGGCCGACGCTACGGCTAGGAGAGGATAGGGGGCCGACCGCTGCAGCTATTAGTTCAAATGAACCAAAAAATAGTCTAAAAATTTGTTTGTTCCTGTAAACTATATTTTATTTAGACTCATGAATTTATTTGAATTTTTTAAAAACATTTTTTATGTTCATTTGAACTATTTTAATGTTTTTCGATTACTTCATTTAATAAATTTATTTTTATTTTTACACTCATTCTTTTGTTCATTTAAACTATTTTTTTTGTTCATTTAAACTATTTTAATGTTTATTTGCACTATTCTTAAGGGATATTTAAACTATTATATGTTAATAGTTCAAATATGAACAGAAGTTCAAATGCACAAAAAAATATAGTTCAAATAAGCATGAAACAATAAACTCGTTTGGTTGTTTAAACTACTCACGTACGTGCATATAGTTCAAACGATAGTTCAAATGAACAATAGTTCAAACGGCAGTAGATTAAACAGGAAAGCATCACATCAGGGGTCCAGAGGGTGTAACTAGTAAGTGTATAAGTAAGTAATTTATTTATGAAGTGGAACAAAAAAAATTTCTTTCTTTTTTCTAAAATGTTCACAAATTTTACTTACATATATGTATTTTAATAGTACTAAATTCATTTAACTTTTTATAAATCGAAGAAAAAATGTTTTAAATCCGCGAACTTTTTTGTTTTTGTCAAGTGTACAAAGAGAAAATGCTCACAGACATGAGCTATCAATTAAAAGTTGAAATAGAAGATGGGCATGAAGCGCTCTGAAAGTCTATAGTGTTATGTTATGTTAAAAAAATGAAAACCATGTGGAATAATCGAGAGCTGTTCACGTAAAAGTTTGACAACAAATTTCCTAAAATTTTCTGTAAAATTTACTGAATTTGTTTAAAAATTTTCATAAATTTTATGAATTAAACTTTTGGTAACATTCTGGAAGAAATTGAGGCACCATTTCGTAAAACTATTTTAGAAGAATAAATTTGTTGAAATTGTTTTTAAATTAAAAATCATAATTTTTTTGTCAAAATTTGTTAAAATCATCTCGACGGAAAGATTTTTAATCCATATATTAATTTTGGGGTTACCGTATCAAAAGATTTTTTATGGGGACCACTGTATCATAAAAAAATTTTGGGACTACTCTCTCAAAAGATTTTTTGGGGACCACTGTATCAAAGGATTTTTTGGGGGATCACTGTATCAGAAGATTTTTTGGGGACCACTGTATCAAAAGATATTTCATGGGGACCTCCGTATCATACAATTTTTTTGGGAACCATTGTATCAAAAGATTTTTTATGGGGACCACTGTATCAAAAGATTTTTTGGGGACTGCAGTATGAAAATATTTTTTTGGGACCACTGTATTATCAAAAGATTTTTTTGGGGACCACTGTATCAACAGATTTTTTGGGAATCAAAAGTTGTTTTGGGGGACTACTGTATTAAAAGTTGTTTTTACGGGACTACTGTATCAAAAGTTGTTTTTTTACGGACCACAATCTCACAAAAAAAATTGGGGATCACTGTATCGAAAGATTTTTTTGGGGAACACTGTACCAAAAGATTTTTTTGGGGGACCACTGTATCAAAAGATTTGTTTAGGAAATCACAGTATCAAAAGATTTTCTTGGGCACCACTGTATCAAAAGTTGTTATTTAGGGACCACTGAATCAAAAGATGCTTTTTAAGGGCCCACTGAATCAAAAGATTTTTTTGAGGACCAAGTATCATCAGATTTTTTTTGAGGACTACTGTATCAAAAGACATTTTTGGGACTACTGCATTAAAAGTTGTTTTTGTGGACGACAGTACCAAACGTTGGTTTTTTGGGGGACCATTGTATCTAAAAAAAATTTGGGGACCACTGTACCAAAAGATTTTTTGGGGACCACTGTATTAAAAGACTTTTTTGTGACCACTGTATCAGAAGACTTTTTTTTGGGACCACTGTATCAAAAAATTTGGGAGGACCACTGTGTCAAAAGATTTTTTGGGGACTACACCATCAAAAGTTTTTTTGGGGGGACCACTGTATTAAAAGATTTTTTTGGAGGACCACTGTACCAAAATAATTTTTTTGGAAACCAACGTCTCAAAAGATTTTTTTGAGGGACTACAATATCAAAAGTTTTTTTTGAGGACCAATATATTAAACAAAAATTTTTGGGACTACTGTATCAAAAGAATTTTTTTTGGGGACCACTATATCCAAAGATTTTCTTCGGGGACCACTGTACCAAAAGAATTTTTTTGGAAACCACTGTCTCAAAAGATTTCTTTGGGGACCACTGTATTAAAAGATTTTTTTGGGGGACCACTGTACCAAAAGAATTTTTTTGGAAACCACTGTCTCAAAAGATTTTTTTGGGGACAACTGTATCAAAAGATTTTTTTGGTGGACCACTGTATTATAATATCAGCAAGTTATTTATTTGAGAAACTATAATCAGAAATTAGAAATCTTTGAATAGATAATCAAGGATTTTAAACTCTTTATTTCTATTTGAAAATTGCGATTTTAAAAAAATTTTGAATTTTACAATAAACTAGATGAAGGGCCCGGCGTTGCCATTGGGAAAAAAAATTGGAAAAAAAAATTTGAAACACACACCCGGGCCATCCATGAGTGTCCACAAAAAATTTCAGCCCAATCGGTCCAGCCGTTTGGCCGGCTATACGCAACATATATATATGAATGTATTGTTATATTATATAGATAAAAAAATATTTAGGGATAAACAGAACCTGGAGTAGTTTAGATACTGGTGTTAAACCTGGAGAAACAGGATAAACAGGACCAACTGCAACATTTTGATTAAAATAAAGGTAAGAAATACATTTAAATGACTTTTTAACCCATGTGTTAAAGTTTTATGTTTTATAGTCCCCTTATTTGTCCAACTTGATTCACCAAACCATGTAAACCAATATGTCGCAAATTATTCCTGAAAAAATTTCCACAATACTAAATTCTCAGTTCAATTACCAAACATTGCCAGTCACTCCCTTTAACTATAAATTTCTATTTGAAACGTTTGTAGATTATTTAGGGAAGTGTTTCAAGTTGGTTGATTACAGAATCTGGGAGATAAACCTAGAGAAGGCTGGATGTTAAACCTGGAGTTGTTTGGATACTGGTCTTAAACCTGGATAAGGTGTGATACTGATCTTAAAGCTGGATAAGGTTGGATACTGCTCTTAAACCTGGATAAGGTTTGATACTGATCTTAAACCTGGATAAGGTTTGATACTGATCTTAAACCTGGATAAGGTTGGATACTGCTCTTAATCCTGGATAAAGTTGGCTACTGATCTTAAACCTGGAAAAGGTTGGATACTGTTCTTAAACCTGAAAATTGGTTGGATACTGCTCTTAATCCTGGATAAGGTTGGATAGAGATGTTAAACCTGGAAAAACAGGTTAAACAGGAACCACTGCAACATTTCTCCATCATATTTGATGAAAACAAGGGTAAGAAATGCATTTAAATGACTTAATTAAACAACTTTTTTAAATAACTCATTCTAACCATTTTTGTCTCCTCTTTATAATTCATTTTTTTCAAAAATTCTTTTCTTCTTTTTTATTTCTTCTGTAAATTGACTGGAAGCTTAATATCAAGCGACGTTCTTTCCAAAGCGAACACTGCAGTTTTTGACAATTTTAACACCTTCATAGAAACACAAAGAATTCTCTGAACTCAATAGTCAGTCATTGGGTTTCCTTGTAAATGGAAAATTCCATACTGAAGAGGGCTAGTAATTTTAAAAATAACTCTGCAGGTCCTTTAATCTTTTTCATTCTGTTCTTTTTTACTTCTGTTCTATACTTTACTTTTGCTTTTCTGTTCTTCTGTTGTCTCTCCCTTTTTCAGTCTTATCTTTCTGTCATTTTTGTTTTATCATTTCTTTTTCTCTTTCTCTTTAGTTTCTCATTTTCTTTCTACTTTTACCTAATTTTTAAGGTTTTTTTATTTCAACCGGAGTCAGTTTACCACATTTACTTAACTCCGGTTCATTTGAAGTAATAGACTAACTTTATAGGCAGCCAGAGCAGGTTGTACAATATATACATAGTTACATACAGACTGTAGACTGTAGGATAGTACCATATAGGCAGCCAGAGCAGGTTGTACAATATATACATAGTTACATACAGACTGTAGACTGTAGGATAGTACCATATAAACCCACCCCTTCTAGTCAAATCATTGTGAGATTACAAAATAGGCATTTGCCCTTGATGCAGAAACCTGGTGTGTTTCTTTTCCTCAATCTGTGTAACATTTGCAAAGATTCATAGTATTGTTAATTGTATAAAAATGAATTATTTTCTGTTACTTTAGTTTTGGAATTTTCAAAAAATTGAATTTTTGATAAAGAAAAGAACAAACGAAATTCAAATTCATAAAAATCCATTAAAATTTATTTATTAAATCATACATGTTTGTAAACTTTTAGGAAATTACAAAAAAAATATTCTGTGAAAATTTTTGTCTTAGTTAATTGTGAATATGGAGTTTGTTTTCATGTTTTAGAGAAAAATCTACAATTTATTTACACAATTTTGTGTAGAATTTACTTTTGTGTGTGTAATTTTACGTGATATTAAAGAAAAAATTTAAGAATATTTATAGAAAATTTTAAGATTATTTAAGAAAATTTTACAGAAAATTAAAGATAATTTTACAGAAAATTAAAGAAACTTTTTCTTAATGTTTGAAGAATAAGGAATAATTAGGTAAAATTCGTGAAA